CGATTGTTATTTTTCATCTAAGTATGCGGTGATAAATAATGCAAAATTTTATTACCTTCGATGCCATGCTACCTTCCCTGTCATGCAGACCTTTGACTCTACATATTGGTTGAAATAACTTGTGTTTCTTATATTGGAAAGTAATTCAGAATTTGTTTCTATTTCAATTAGAGCCCTGATGCAGACAAGGATTGTGTGGTTGTACATGTCACTCGCTATGAGGCAGATGACCTGAATATATGCACTGGGAAAACAAAGTTCTTAGGTTGTTGGATCCTGAAAGCCATTTGCATTTATACCAATGTCGAGATGTATTCCAGCCTCACTGTTGTCAGGCGTGTTGTCCAGGGTGTACTGAAGCACAAGAAATTCAAAGTTACTCGTTCCTTTGTGAGGCATACTGTTCTTGTCAATCTTATGCAGGAAGATGACGTGGCATGCCTCCAAAAAATAAGTTTATGAGTGGCAAGGCCACAAGGTTATCTTCAGGAAGATTCACAGGATTGAGCTGCTGCTGGACATCCTCGGTGATGTTCATGGGAAGGTCCGTCCTATGCAAATCGCAAATTAGATCAAGGCATGAAATAGTTGCCCCACCTAGTGTTTAATAGTAGTTTGGATTGTGTCTAATTATCCGAACCTTGCCTATTATCGAGCCCTCTGGACTAGTACTCTCTTTGAATCTGTCTATGGGAACTACTGCTACTTTTGTGCGCCCGTGAATCATGTGAGAACCATCCTAATTATTGCCGAAACATATCCGTCCTCACTAGTTTTTTCATGTAATATGGCATGATAAGACATAAGTTGTCACGGTTTATCATACGAGCAGTGTGTGTTTGATGTAATAGAGTACTCTTTTGAGAATTGTGCACTAATGTATACATAGGGTAGATAAGGCTGGTTAAGTACATGTAAACACTGCTGGTACTACTCCATTTGTAAAAAGTTCTGTAAAACAAGGCACATTGACTCAGCTCGCTTCAACACTAGAAAAGTTGGCTATCGACTAGCTAACGATCAATAATCTATTGTCTGACATATAAGCAACTACGTATCTGATTACAGTGGTTCATGCAGTTAACTGAGGCCACACTGTAAATTCTAAATGTTCACATGCTAGTCCAGTGTTCATGTTGAACATGCACATTAAACTCGGCTTCATAGAATACTTGAAAAGCATAAGTTAAGAAATTTTATACATCTCAATGATTCATAGAACATAACAAAAATATTTACTAGTTCACGGCAAAAGACAAAGTTGTGAAAAGGTTTACAAATCAGAAAAAATCAAGCAATGCTTCTCTGAGCAAAGGGCCTCCTTAGGCAGGCTTTAATTTCCTGGAGTTCACTCTGGTTTTTCTTGTTGCCACCATCCAAGATTAGGTTCTTTCATTTCAAAATAACCAATTATAATTGTGTTCTTAGTTGGAATGCTGAACTGAACCATGTAGTGTATTGACCATCTAAACTTCTTGTGCAGTTCTACTAAATTTAAGCACTGCTATTTGCAGAAATAAGCAGACCATAATGCCTTTTGTTCGTGCACCTGTCCCAAAAACCTTCATGCAGCCGTGCTAGCTAGTCCTCCGTCCATGGATGAATTGGGAGAAAGTGCATTCCCGACTAGGATACAATTGTTTTCGCTCGTCCCTGCACTGCAGTTAGGAAGTAAAATATATGATTCAGCTTCTTTTAGATTGCGTTGGCCATTCTACCTAGTCACTACCTATGTAGGAATACCTGGAAGATAGGTGGTTAGGCAACGGCAGCTAGGAATAGCCATCTCATTTTGTGCAGTTCTACTAAAACTGAGGTGTACTTTTGATTGCGCTGATAGAAACGATATGGAGACACACATCCTTGTTTCCGCAAATATGAAATACGGTTATTTAAATAGTGACATTTATTTGCAGTGGCATATGATTAACATCAGCATCTATTGTGTTATAATTGGCACTACATTGACAGTATGAAAATGCCCTTAAGTAAGAAGTAGCATCACATCACATCAACACTGTCACTAGATTAACATGCAGAACAATAGCATTAGTATTACTGTCATGAGAATAGCACATGGTCATAAAATGTGCAATCAAAATTTTGCAGTTCCACTGGGATGAAGCAATGCTAGCGGTGTGAGATTTAAGTGTGACTACAAAAACACAATTCATAAGAAATAAAATGGTGGTGGCATTGCTTCAATTTATCGACAGCACTAGACCATTACTTAATAATGACATTAGGTGGCATTGCTTAATAATTCATGTGATTTTACATTAACGGTAGCGATATGGGCGTAGGGATAGCAGGGGCATAAATTGGTGAGGCAGATGTGGTTGCCCAAAGCAGCAAACACTCAGGCAGCATGTCTGCATTTGTTCCATTTTTTATCTCTTCGGTGACATTTTCCTATGTGAGCACAGGAAATCTAGAGCTGCTCATTCTCATTTGTGTTGTCCCCCAACGCCCCTCACTTCCTTTCCTTTTTTCAACCAAAGAGACAGGTCCACTTCCCCCACTCTTCGCCATCCACCATGCTTTCTTCGCCTTATCAACCAAGGGAGCAGTTGGCTCAGTTGGGTAGCCAGTATCCATTACTTTCCCCCCATTGCCTCTTAGAATCATGTCCTAGATTCATGCTACATTTCCCCATTTCCTCTTAGAATCATGTCCTAAATTCATGCTACAGATTTCCCACTTTCTTCCCTATTTGAATCAACCCTTAAATTCGACTGTATGAACTGGCTTTACCTTTAATAATAGTAAAAGTCTACGTGGCTTTGGAATAGTCGACGGGAGTAGAAAAATATGCACACGCAGCCACGTGGGGAACTGGGGCAGTAGAGAAAGGTCGGTTTCGAAGGAATATATACCCGAGGGTCGTCGGCATGTGGCAAAGACGACGTCTGGAGGCCGCATCTTGGCCACAATACCACGGGGAGGAAGAAGGGGTCGAAGGCCCTCCCGATCCGACGCTATCTCGGAGAGAATGGCACGGCCGTCGATCAGAACACGCGGGCAGCTGTTGGTCTCCTCCCTCACCGCCAACGACTGCGTGGACGACGCACCTACACCCCTTCCCTGGTCGAGGTGGTTACGCCGGATTTGTGACCAGCCATGAGCAGAGAAAGAGAGTATGTGGCCACCTATGCATTTCTTAGATCTGGAAAGCATGAGAGAATGAAAGAGAGGAACCCTAATAAAGCAAGCACCAAGACTCCTGCTATATATACTAGAGGTTGGGGCGCCCCCATGGCACGCCGCTTGAGCGGAAGCTCGGCGGTGCCAGATGGGTCCCATCAAACAAACCACTATGTACAAAGATAATTCCTCATCAACCAAAGCATTACAGTCTGCCGCACTTCCAGCTATTGGCCTCCTTGTCCATCTCTCCGGTGCCACACGAGAGGACGACGATGAAGATGCCACATATTGTTTGGCCTCTTGTTTATATCAGGTTCCACACGCCAAGGGAAGAGGACGAAGACACGGACTGCTCGACCTCGTTCGTGTCTCCGACGTTGTGTGTGACGGTGCAAGGACGACTGCAGTGCCCAGATGGGAGGACTCTAATCACATAACAGGTTACTGAGAACGATTAAGGTTGTAGTTCATGTGTGTGTTGGACAAACAAGCAACCATATGATACATACCTGATCCAGAAGGTATATTTGTAGTAGGTGCCCTGAAAGCAGGAACTGAAAGTGTCACCGCCGCCACAGCTACAAGATTCTTTGCAGCCTGTGACACAAACACAAATAAAAATCTAGCCATCCAGATAATATAATTTGTATTCAACAACGGTGACAACAATCGCAACCCGTAAATTAAGCAGCTCGAAATTGGCAACCCAACCCATGAATAAAGCGACGTCGATCTGAAATGCAGTGCCTCAAGTAACCGTTGGACATGAAAAAACCTACTGATTTTCTAGCTGGACAAACATAACGAGATCATAAGGAAAAATTAGCACAAGGAAAGGAGAGAAAAATACTACGGTACACTATAGATCAACCGACCTGACTACACATACAACTGGATTTTCGAAATTCCAAATGAAACACCATGTTCTAATTCTTTGCTGAAATACTTGAGCTGCTAATAGCAACACCAAGTCAGACTGTAGACTAAGGGTTGCCTTGAGTTGGATTAAGGTGTCTGTATTTCATATATACAATTGTTATTCCATTCTGGACACTTCACTAGAAAGCAGATACCATCAACATGCTGCGAGACACCACCATATCCATGGGATGGACACGGTTCTTATGGGCTTATGGCTAGTACTATTCTATAAAAGAGAAGTATACTACGGTACACTATAGATCAACCGACCTGACTACACATATAACTGGATTTTCAAAATTCCAAATGAAACACCATGTTCTAATTCTTTGCTGAAATACTTGAGCTGCTAATAGCAACACCAAGTCAGACTGTAGACTAAGGGTTGCCTTGAGTTGGATTAAGGTGTCTGTATTTCATATATACAAGTGTTATTCCATTCTGGACACTTCACTAGAAAGCAGATACCATCAACATGCTGCGAGACACCCCCATATCCATGGGATGGACACGGTTCTTATGGGCTTATGGCTAGTACTATTCTATAAAAGAGAAGTAGAGAACACATACAGTATGTGAGGTATTCTTATTAACAAGTCAGAAGATAAAAAGAGCTTGATGGCTTGAAAGAGTATAGTAGAGAAGTATTCCTGATGTAGGAAAAAAATCAAGTTTGCAAAGAAAAGATGAACTAAGAAAACGTCGACGATTTACAAACTTACAATTATAGATCTCCCAAATGCACCAGCACTAACATAAGCCCATGTTCCTGGAAGCATACCCAACAAACTGCATGTGTAAAAAAGCAATATCTGAGGTAACGTTTCTTTAAAGAAGAAATATATACTGATGACAACTTTTTCAATGTAATATTTCATCACAAAAGAATGCTCAATTTGCAGTGGATCGGAGGCCAGGGTTCAACTGTTCAAGTCCTACAATAGTTTGTGCGACCCATCCTCATAAAATCAGATGGAACCCATCGATTCTCAACACAAACAGTTCTAAATGTCAGGCTACCAATAGTCACTAAATTTAATTTCACCATAATGTCCCACAAGGATTTTTATTTGGCCACACACAACGGCTGAAGAAATATATTAACTTACAATGCGTCTCAATTATGGAATATTGATTAACCACATCATACTTGCAACCCGTAAATAGCCAAGGAATCTTACTCAGCCCGTAACAATTCCACCTAGGCAGATGGCACAAAAGCACACTAATAGGTCAAGATAGGAATGCTCACATACCCTGACAGCATGTGCTTGTTGTGATAAGCATTCACCGGCTTGCCGGCCTCATCCCTCGAGGGGCATATAAAGAAACATCACCCTGCATCAAAAGGTCACATTAAGAGGAAGAAGTAGGAAAATGAAGCATCAAGCAACAAAAAAATACTATCAGGCTGCAGTGCAGCAAAGCTGAAGAAATAAGCCCAAATCTGGCTTGTCAACGTTTGGGGCAGAGCTAACAAACAACTTCCCTGGAAAGCATGGGAAGGTTCCAATAATTTGGTCATCCGCTCCACTATACAAATTAATGGACATGTGCCAAAACAAAGAAATGAAGGAAATCATAGATAACAAAGTGAGGTCACATAATAGACTGAACTGAACTAAGATCAATATTACAATCTCCAATGAACTGAAGTGGAGACGGCGTCTCAGATCATGCTGGACAGGTCAAAAAGCTCGATTAGCATGGAGGTGGGTGTTGTCATACGTCGGCGAGGAGCCATGGGGGATCAGCTCGCCGCCCTCTGGTCGCGGCAGCATTGTCAGAGATGTGGTGCTCGCATGGACAAGACCAAGATGCTACCTCTGGTTTCCAGCGTGAGCATCACCAACAGACATGGCGGTGGCGCTGGTTCTTGCCTCCCAGTCTTTAGTGGAGAGGCCCGCAAGGAGGAAGGGTCCAAAGATATGCATACTCCGACCAATCATCTGGACATGCATTACTAACGAGTGAGTTTGATAAATGTTGACACCCGATGTTGCAAGTTACAACATGGTGACTGAGAGATTTCAACAGCAAAGGAAAAAATGAAAGTGTCACAAAATTTTAAATTAAAATTTGGAATAGAAGAAAACATAACCAAACCTTCTATGAAATTCTATAGAGATTTCAACAGCAAAGGAAAGCCTCGATATATTGGCTCAACAAATCTGCAATGTCACAATTAATTTTAGTCAGTTGTCTAAATTTGTGCATTACGTGATAACAAAACCTAATGTGATATCTTATATCCTAACACGCTGACCAATATCTGACAGGATCCTAATTTTTTTCTGAATGGCTCCTGCGATTTTAGCAGATCAACTAAATTACTTGTTGAGAAGGACTTAGCATATTTAGATAGCTTAATCAATTAGCTTATTAAACAGGAGAACCATATGCTAGGATTAAAATAGAAGAAAAGCTTAATTATATCAAGAAAGATACGGTTGTGAAATCAGAAAGGATAGGGAATCGAAACGCAGTTGCAAGTGGTCATGCAAGCAACAGCGTACATGCATATAGCTGCTGATGAACAACCAAAATGGAAAAGGTCAGCCACCGACACGAATGCATCTAATTAGGGACTCACAAATGTTTAGAGAAACTCTTATGAAGCAATTTCAAGTTCTATTTCTAATCCTGGATTATCCCTAGGAAGCACTTCATAAAGAATGTTCATGTTATTCTGATTTGAAACAAGAGATGTTTTTCATGATGCAATCCAAAGGAACTGAACACCTCCTCTTGTCTCATATATATATATATATATATATACCATAGGAAAAGCAAGTCAGAGCTTCATCCTCTTGTCCTTCTCCATCAACCATGTGCCTAGCGTTGACTCCATCCTCCACACGAACATGACTAAAAAAACTATGGGCATAAGAAAACCAAACTATACCTGCGAATGGGATTATGTGAATAAGATAATAACCAAAGAATCAGACATTCCAACAACCATAATCGGTTCAGCTGTAATACTCACCAGTAGAAGGAAGGCTCCATGCTTTCCCACCTCAGTCAACAGTCATAGCAGTAATGGATGTTGTGGCCTTACCGGTGTCGCGGGTCGATCTGTTCATGAAAAATTTCAGCAGCCACATGAGCACATACGAAAAGAACGATGATTTACATAGGAAAGAAAAATCAGATTCAAAGAGCTTTCTAGCTATAAATCACAAGTTGAAGTCATACTCTGTCTACGATACACAAAAAATGAGAAGCTCAGATGCATAAATCCTAAGTGACCATAAGATAAATATGCCAACATGTGAATCAGAAATCCAATGTTTCAAACTATTTGATGCCATTTGTCAAATGCATTTCTACTTTTCAGTGGTGATCATGTTCAATAAACTCTGAATTTTACACATTGTTATGACATCTTTGTATAGAATACATACTTCATATTTCTCCATGAAAAAATAGATTTGCAAGGCAGATAACTTGTTCATACAACTAAAACAATTGCTAATGAAAGAACATGCATCAAATCTTATAACATTAGAGCTTACGTCTTTTTCAAAGCCTTGGTTGTTGACTTGTTGTTGGCTTTGAGCTCCTAAACTTGCTTTCACAAATAGTCCGTATCAACTCTCAGCTTCTTCATCTTCTCACAATAATTGATCTCCTCTGAAATCAACCCAGAATCCTACTTAGATGGCATCGACTGCAAACTTTCACTGCCTGGAGAAAAAGTAATTAAAAGCAGGGCAAACAGATAGAAAACAAGTGCCCTAATTAGCATTGGGAAAACCTGTTCTGCAAGAAACTTGCTTAAGAGGGGCTATGGTAACAAATTGTTAGAGCCAAATACTTCAAGAATAAAACTATTAATACTAGCAAAACAAGAGTCACTGCTTCCCTTACTGCAAATCAGTTATGAAGGCACTCCCCTAAAAAAATACCAGATCAATGATTTTAGAAGAAGCTTGCTTCCTAAGCTGTATTTATGATGGACTGAACTAAATAACAAGGTTAAGGATTCACAACCCTGACAAAGTGTTTTGGTGTTTGAACAAAAAAGGGGTATTTAGTAGGAGGTGCTAGGTGGGAGCTCTGCCGCTGCTTACCTTGCCGTTGCTGCAATGGATCCCGAGCTCGGGGGAGAGGGGGGACCGCTGCTTCCCATCTGGAGCTCGGGGGAGAGGGGGCGTGCGTCCGAGGCATGGGAGCGCCATCCATGAGGCAAAGGAGCACCAGAGAGCACGGCAGGAGCCAGAGATGACCAGACAAAGGCGCCGGAGAATCGCCGACGACGAGGAGGCTCCCGTGATGCTTATTGTGTTCGATTGTGGCAACTGGTTGCCTGCACAATATTGACCAACGTGTAGTCCATGATTTCCGCCCAGGTTTTGTGGCTTTCGAAGTTTTGTGCATGTGTTCTATCCTCCTATTGGAAGAGTTGCACGAATCCTGTCCAACACAAACAAAATTTCAGAGCAGGCTGTGAATCACAAGTTATGGACTGCAAAGAAACACACAGAGTCACGTGGCATAAGTACAAACAGGTGATAAAGCAGCAATCCATCGACACAAAACATAACCAAACAACGCGGCAGAAGCAGTGATAAACATGGATGAATGCATGATGAATCACACCTAAGTTGATGCAAAAGAGCAACACCAAACACACGATCAACACCCCACACGTTCTAATACTTAAATTCCAACTTTACTAATGACTTATTTTCATTTTCTCAGTGAAAAAAACTGAGGTCTCCGACTTACTGCTTAATGGTTTTGTGAAGCCGCAAAAAAAAACAACAACAAAGTATTCTAATATTATTACAAGGCTGCACAGATGAACATATATAAGAGCTTTTTTGCGAATTGACTATATGAGCTTTCTGTAGAACAGCACAAAAAATAGTACAGCAGAAGAAATAACAATTCCTGCGAACAATACTAAAATATTAACACAAAAGTCGATAGAAGAATGCAACAGAACATGGCTGAATAGAAATTTGAATTGACGAGAAAATAAAGGAGGAAACAAGATGGGCAAAGGTGTGTGAATCTCACCTTGATCCCTCGGCCAAGCCCCTCTGACTGTCTGGCACTCGCGTCGCCAAGCCAGCGAGCCTCGCCGTCCCTCGACCAAGTCGTTCCCTCTGCCTGTCCAGCGCTCGAAGTCGCCCAGCCGACGAGCCTCGCTGTCCCTCGACCAAGACGCTCCCTCTGCCTGTCCGGTGCTCGCCCCCAACCGCCGAACCCGCCTACAACCGCCCCTCCCCGACCCTCCATCAACCCCTGTTGCTTCCGCCCGCAGCCCCCGCGCCCGCCTCGCCCCTGTCGCCGCCATGGGAGCTGGTTTGCCGTGGTAACGAGGAAGGGAGGTTGGAGGCGTGGCTGTGTTGACGAGGGAGAGACGAGGGAGGGATGTGGCGGCTGTCTGACGAGGGAGGGAGAAGTGCATCGACTATGGGATTTGGGGGGCTAGGGTTTGTGGGTGGAGCCGTGGAGGTAACGAGAGAAGGAGGAACATACCGAAAAGCTCCTTTGATGCATGACGTTCAGTGGTATGCTTATCAGCGCCATTGGTTTGCATGTGGATCATCATCTAGCATTTAATGATCAATGTACTCCCTCCGTTCGAAATTACTTGTCTTCGAAATGGATGTATCTAGAACTAAAATACATCTACATACATTCATTTCTACGACAAGTAATTCCGAACGGAGGGAGTATAAGGGAGCTGCAGCTGATTTTCATCCGGCGGTATTCATCGCGTAATCCAGCACCTTGGTCCTGGATTCATCCATCTCGCGTAGCATATGTCCCACTAGCCAGCTCCTTATTAGGTCGGAATCTGGAACTGGTTACATTTTGTATCAACTTGATGCACAGGTACAAGATCGACACATTAGGTTGACCTCTGTCACACATATATCCCGAGGAGCAATTAATGCACCTAAGCAATTAACTTGCTAGTTCAATAGTTTTTTTAGTTGTCATGCGATCACTAGTGGATAATTAGTTCGTCAATTTACCTAATCATGGTGTACTAATCGGACAACTGTGTACAATTTATATGCACCCCAATAACATACATCCATTACTAATTGACTAAGACTGGTCATAGTGAGGAGTAACTTAGACTAGTAACATGCATATGTTACTAGTCTATGGTACTATCTCTATAGCGTATAGTATTATAGATTAGTATCATAGGTGGTCTCATTTACTGTCATGCATGACACATAGTAGCACCACATTTATTATGTTAGGGTATCTATCTATATTACTATAATCATCTCTCTCTTCTTTAATTGCTTGTCACATAATCACGTTTACAAGTCTCAAGTACATGATACTATTTATGTTACCCCACTATGGCCAGCCTAATTGAAGCATGCGTTTGCATTTAAGTACTAATCATGTCATTTTTAACTTCTCGTGCCGCAAATTGCCTCAACACTCGCTCATTATGCAGCACTGTAACCTTGTTTTTTTTATTTGACCAGACAATCCTTATCGTCTCACCACCACGCGCACTCAAATCATTTACTGTTCTTCTCCCCCCTCCCCACCTCTCACCTACCGGAAACGCTCACGGCGGTGCTCAAGATCAAAATCTCCAGGGCTCCCATTGCCACCGCCGCCGGCACACAATCAACACTTTGCGGCCACTTTCTCAATGGCTCGGATGCTTCCACCCCCTCCCCCCTTCGTGGCTCTGCTGGCGAGCCGAACCAGCCATCGATCTTGTGTACGATGAGTTCGACATGCTCATAATCTAGAGTTTCAAAGCTTTTGCATCAAAGGGGGGTTTTTTGGAACTGTTTATGCAAGACGTGACTCCTCACTCGAACGTCTGGTGGTAGCATATTTATGGCGTCGTTGTCACGGCCGTCCTTCGGCCTGTCTTCGGACCTATATGAGCCAAAACAGATGCACACACATAGTCAGCAGTATCGCAGCCCAATCCGCCCGCACACTCGAATACTCGCCCGAAAACTACATGTCTCGCCAAAATATATATACTGTATAAGATAAAGTCAGGCCATGAGCTACATGCACGCATGCACATTTACTAGCTGCACGCATGCACATTTACTAGCCCGCCATCTTGATCGGCCCCTGCCATTCTTCTTAACACCATGCCCTCATTTTGCATATAGCACGGACATGGCACAACCTGTATCACATGCATGCGCCAGCACACAAAATATCCCCGCCCCCTAAACAAACACCACCCAACATCTTGCTCACACCACCACACTGTCAAGTTCTCAAGAAACACTTCCAAGTTCTCAAGAAACTAGTTGTTGATCTATGATAGAAAAAAAAGAAATCAAGCTCAGTTAGAAGAACTCCATATTGCAAGAACATAGCTTCAAAATTGATAACTTAGTTGCCCCTCCATGTCGACGAACTCCATATTTCTGTCGATCATGCAATAGATCCAGCCGAAACACCAAAAGCTTTCGGTTTACGTTTTTGCTTTTATGTGCCACGCCCGGGCTAGCTATATTGAGTGGTGCGAAATGTATGGGCCCGGGCTAAAACAACACACACGTAAAATGTTGGCCAGGTACTTATGGGGCCATATTATCTACCACATGCAAGCGTACCTGAGCCGATTCTCGCATAGGATGCCATCATGCTTGGTACAAGTGATAATGCAAACCGGGCGCCGGACACACCATACTGGACCGCAACGTGAGTATATAGTACCATCCGCATGTAGTATATGTCCCACGTATTGTTCCAACATTACAGGCTGTCGTTGGTTCCTCGCATCACGATGCATGCAGTGCACGACGAGGATAAAGTGCGCCAATGCCGCCGTGCACTGAAAGTGCGCTCCGGAAGAAACGATGTTATCTGGGGAGGTGTGTTTTTTCAACCCTTTTTTCTCCTGCACCTGCCCAGCCCCTTGTGTCCACGTGGATAGCCCCATCGATCGCTCCTTACACGACTCCTAATGGGTTTAATATATATATATAGTGGAGTTATTTTTTTTGTACTAGCCATTATTAATTTGAATATGAGCGAACCACTATTTTCAATTAAAGTTCAAGTAAAAATAAAACTCGGTCAATAACGTGCCACCGCTTCCAGGTCGCACTATCAAATCACCGCGTCCAGGACGCACTATGTACTGTATCATTCACGTGCGGTCCCCGACCCTCCATCAAGTTAAAAACTACATTAGTCAAAAATGTCTATTGGGATGCCTCTTTGTAAACAAATGCGCTCCTAGCTTCAAAAAAATGTTCTCCTACGCGTACCCACGAGTGAGTGAGAAAACTAGTGTGTGCGTGCACCGCTTCTCTTCGCGAGAGTACAATATACTACACCCAAAGAACGTTCGGCACAAGAGTAATAGTATAAGTGTGTGTCGTGTGAGTTAAAATAAAAGGTGCGCAAGGTCTTTTATTTTTGAAAAGTTCCGAGGATAGGGTGTGAAGAGCACATATGTGTGTGACGTATACCTATAAAGAGACGGTGGGTGCAAGAAGTATAACACCCCGATGCGACTATAGCTCCCACGTGTCGAGGCACGACTTAGAGATATAATCGCATTGAAGGCATATGTCGCAAGTTAGGCAATCTTCACAAACATCCCATGTAATATAACAATAAAAGGGGAGATAATATAGTTGGCTTACACTCGCCACGTCAATCAAGTACATAAATAATATTACATCATCCAAACACTCATGGCCCGACTACGACGCCAAAATGAAAGAGAACCCAACATGCGACACGGTCCCAATCACCCCCAACTGGGCACCACTACAGATCATCGGGAAAGGAAACATAGTATCGTTGAGTCTTCGTCGAACTCCCACTTGAGCTCATAATCGTCACCTGGAGCGGAATCACCTGGACCTGCAACTGGTGTAGTAGGAATCTGTGAGCCACAGGGACTTAGCAATCTCGCACCCTCGCGATCAAGACTATTTAAGCTTATAGGAAGGGTAAGGCAATATATATATGTGGAGGTGCAGCAAGCGACTAGCATATGTGGTGGCTAACTTATACGCAAAAGAGAGCGAGAAGAGGAGGCAAAGCGCGAGCGAGAATCTAAAGAACAACCTGCGCAAACATTACTCCAACACCGTGTCCACTTCCCGGACTCCGTCGAGAAGGGGCCATCACGGTAACATACTCAGTTGATTCATTTTAATTAAGTTTAGTTCAAGTTATCTACAGCCGGACATTAACAAATTCCCATCTGCCCATAACCGCGGGCACGGCTTTCGAAAGTTCAAATCCCTGCAGGGAGTCCCAACTTAGCCCATGACAAGCTCTCATGGTCAACGAAGGAATAGACCTCCTCCCAAGACGTTTCGATCAGACTCGGTATCTCGGTAACTCAAGACACTTCAATAGGTTAAAACAAGACCAGCAACACCGCCCGAATGTGC